AAATACTATAAGGAACATGGTATAATACTGTTATTTAAATTCTGTTTCTGTGCTACAATATTAAGCATATCAAGTTAAGTTCTCGGTTCTAGTTTGAGGACATAACTTCTTTCCAATGCTATTTACCAAGCTTCAAGCTACAATAGTACTACTTTTGTGCATTTTGTAATAAATAGTGAAACTGGTATGAATTGGACATTAGATAAACTGATCATTTCACATAGTAAGAATCAAAATGAAACACTGAAATCTAAGATTAAAAAATTCAGTCAATCTCCTATGCGCTTAGTTATCATGAGTGAAAATTGTATGCATTCTCGAGATGGATCAATATATCAAATTTGCACAGTGTGCGGGTTTTAATTAAGTAAATGGTTTTTCTGTGAATATGCACAATGAGATGTAGGAAAGTGTATAGAAATTCGTTTTTTTTTACCTTCTAATTATGTGAAATATCGAGAATAAAATGAAACAGATTTTAGAAACAGAAAAAAGTATTTAATTTTATCATAATTTGGATTTCATTGTTTAAAAAAACATATTAACAAATCTAACTGGTGTAATTATCATGGAAAATTTGTAGTTAATAAGTTCTACTTGAAAAATGAAAGCTTTTGCAAACGCATGCAGTTTGTTAAGATTTGGTTCACTGCTTTATTCACAACTTGTAGTAAACCAAAATATTATGTGCTGGGCGTAGCCGAGTGAATAACGCCCTGACTGTGAACTTGAAAATTCATGATTCATCTCTTGTCAAATCCCCCTTTCAGGTGACACACATCAGTTCAAGAGTTGGTGGTAGGTACTGTTGACTAGCTGCCTTCCCTCTAGTCTGTCAGTTCAAAATTAGAAAGTAAAAAACAACATTTTATAGCTCAATAAAAGTGTTTGAAGTATATTTTTTATCGATTATTATAATTTGTGCAAAAACTCAACTAAAAACATTTTTTGTTAAACTTTTGGAAATAGCAGTCACATTAAGCTCCAGAATAAACTTCAAACATCTTATGCAACAAACACTAAAACTCCTTTTCCCAGACACTGTGTAGTCATAATAATTTTAAACCTACCTTAACATTATACACTTTTGTTGTACTTCTACAAGCACATATGTACATGCACACAAACATGTATTAATCGAAACCATTAAATATTTTGTGCTTTAACATTTAAATTGACTTTTACGGGGTTTTGTAACGCATTAATTCCAATAAAGATATATATATTGTTAC